GATGATCTTCTAATGACATTTGAGATATGACACCAAAGGCATGATCCAGGAAAGAAATAATTGATAAGCTAGAGTTCACCAAAATTAAAAACTTCTGGGCCGGCCTGGTGGCGTAGTGGTTACGTTCGGTGCACTCCACCTGGACGGCCTGGGTTCGCGGGTTTGGATCCTGGGCGCAGACCTACACTTCTCATCAAGCCATGCTGTGGCGGCAACCCATATACAAAATGGAGGAAGATGGGCACAGATGTTAGCTCAGGGCCACTCTTCCTCAAGCAAAAAGAGGAAGATTGGCAATAGGTGTTAACTCAGGGCCAATCTTCCTCATCAAAAAGAAAAAAAATTAAAAACATCTGCTCTGCAAAAGACAATGTCAGGAAAGAAGACAAGCCATAGGTTGGGAGAAAATATTTTCAAAACACATATCTGATAAAAGGCTATTATCCAAAACGTACAAAGAACTCTTAAAACTGAACAATTAGAAAATAAACAATCCAATTAAAACATGGACCAAAGACCTTAATAGATGCCTCACCAAAGAAGACATACAGACAGCAGATAAGCATATGAAAAGATGCTCCACATCATCTGTCATCAGGCAAATGCAAATTAAAACAACGAGACAGCACTATACATCTATTAGAATGGTCAAAATCTGGAACACTGACACCAAATGTTGACGAGGACGTGGAGCAACAGGAACTCATTCATTGCTGGTGGGGATGCAAAATGGTACAACTACTTTGGAGACAATTTGATGGTTTCCTACAAAACTAAACATAATCTTACCATATGATCCACCAATTGCACTCCTCGGTTTTTACCTGAAAAAGTTGAAAACTTATGTCCAAACAAAAACCTTCACCTGGATGTTTACAGCAGCTTTATTCATAATTGCCAAAACTTGGAAGCAACTAAGGTGTCCTTTAGTAGGTAGAAACTGTAGTACATCCAGATGATGAAACATTATTCAGCACTAAAAAGAAATGGGCTGTTAAGACACGAAAAGACATGGAAGAACCTTAAATGCATATTACTAAGTCAAAGAAGTCACTCTGAAAAAATTGCATATTGTATAATTCCAACTATGTAACATTCTGGAAAAAGCAAAACCATGGAGATGGTAAAAAAGATCAGGGGTTGCCAGGGTTTGGGGATTTTTAGAGTAGTGAAAATAGTCTGATACCATAATGACAGGTACATGTCATTATATATTTGTCTAAACTCATAGAACATACAGCACCAAAAGGGAACCCCAAGGTAAGCTATGGACTCTGGGTAATCATGATGTGTCAGCATAGGTTCATCACTTGCAACAAATGTCCCACTCTAGTGGGGGATGTTGATGATGGGGGGGGATATGTAGGCGTGCAGGTAGGGAGGACATGGGAAATTTCTCCACCTTCCCCTCAATTTTGCTATGAACCTGAAAACTGCTCTGGAAAAAGTCTTAAAAAAAAAAGAGCTCTTTGAAAGAGAAATGGGTGGGTCTCATACAACCCACCCTATTCAAAATTCTTCAGTGGCTCCCCTGCACTCTGAGAATAACCAAATGCCTTTCTGTGGCCTAGGAGATCCCGTGTGGTCTGACCCCTTCCTGGCTGCCCCATCTGACTCCTTCCTGGCTCCATATCTCCCTCTCCACTTGTCCTCCAAGCTCTAGCTCCACTGACCCACTCTTTCCCTCCTCAGCCTTCATAACTGATACTCTCCCTACTCCAAGTAATCTTTCATCTCACTCCATTATACCTGGCTTCTTCTCAACTCCAGGGTCTCAGCTTAAATACTACCACCATAGAAAGGCCTTCCCTGACCAGATCACTTACAGCATCCATCAGTCCTCCCTTCCCTCTATCATATCACCTTCATAATTCTCATCACAACCTTTAATTACTTTATTTGCTAAACAGTTTGATGATCATCTCTCACGAGAATGTAGGCAACACAAATTCTCTCTTGCTTACCAATGTGAACCCTAGTACCTGACAATATCTTTGACACAGAGTAGATGTTCATTAAAGATTTGTTGAATGAATATATAAAATGTGAACTTCAGGTCTTATTGAAAAAGAATATTCTCAATCCAGTCTTTAAAATCAATAATGCTTCCTTTAATTCTGTTAAAAATACAAAACACCACTCTGCAACATTCTTCAAGTCAGGATGCTTCCCTCCCCACTTAATACCACAACCCCATACATCTGGAAGGTGGCAGGGACCTTCATGCTGATTGATGGCACCCAAATGCCTACTGGGCAGTTTTTCCAAACTGGAGCTAGGACTAATAACATACAGTCTAAATCATCCACTTAGCAGTACAATGATCTTAAGTTGCCAGAGCACTCTGACAACTCTAATGGTTTAAGGATTCTCTCAAAAACCCCCAGGAAGCATCAGTTAGTAACCCTGCTGTACAATCTATTTTTAAAGTTTGGCTACAACATCTATTATTCTTGTAAGTGTTAAAATCTTATGGCTGAACATAATGAGACTGAGACTGTCATTTATCTTCCAGATGAAATTTTGTCACTCCCCTGATCCTATGCCTGCTGGCTAGCCAGTGCTCACAGGCTAAAGCCTGATGAAAGCATGCAAGCTGAACATTTCAACAAACCGGTCTGTGTCTAGCTTCATCTCAGGCCACTGTTCCCTCTTCACCCTCTCCACTGCAGCCACAGTGAGCCTTCCACCACAGTCCCTAACACACCACGATCTGTGTGTCTCTGCAACGCCCCTTTCCTCCCTTCCACATTCCCCCATACACACCTTGTCAGAACCAGGGCTCCACCAAGAAGCCTTCACAGACTCCCTCTGACACTTAGTTCTGCTATAACAGAACGCTCTGAGGGCAGTTATCACACAGCACCATCACTGTGTTTTCTATCTCCTTTAACGGATTCTTTCGATTCCTTCTAGTCTTTGCCTACATCCTTCCAGCCTACATACTTTGCGGTGCTTCAAAAGGCCAATAGAGAGTGTGGTACAATCAACACTTGACACACATTTGTTAAATTAGTCTCTCTCTCAAAACACTGTGCCAGGATGCCCCAAGTATGACAGCCCAAAATATAAGACCAGGCTACCTCAGTTACATCTGTCATTATGCAAAAATTCACTGGTTGGTCTCTTACGTCAGGTCCAAAGAATACATTCATTTAAAACTGAACACACACTCTGTACAATAGCTCACTTCTACCTCAGCAGTTCACAGAGCCATCAACTACCCCCTCCTGATTCTACCAAGCTCCTTGTGGTCCACTATATCTAGAAATCTCTCCATGCTTGACGCAAAGCTTGTTTTCATTATGTGTATAACTGTTTTCTGATCTGTTCTTCACTTTTCCAAGTTCAATCAACTGCTCTGCCTGATGCCTGTTCCCTTCCTTTTTTCCCCACTAAGTTCCACTAGCCATTTTGTCCAAATTACACAAACACTAATATGAAATGAGATCTCCCTCAAATGTGAAGTGTAACTCCTCTAAGAGAAAAGAAAACAAATCCAGTAGCAGCCAATCTTCTATTGAAAAAGACAATGTAGCTACAAAATAACTTAAAGCTAACAAAAGCTACTTACTAGTCACTCCTTCAGAAGAGGACAATCCTTATGCCATGTTTCCCACCACCAGTCGTAAAGTCAGTCCTGAAAACTCAGGTAGAGAATCCCCCATACCTTACCTGCTGGCTCTCGGGTTAAAAAGCTCCCTGAGAGCAGGGACTGGGTCTGTCTGGCCCACCACAGCAACCCTAGAGCCTGGTATGGCACCTGGCATACAATGAACCCCAAATAACTTTCTGCTGAATCAACAAACATGGCATGTAAGCTGGGTTACCCAAAAAAGCAAGGCCAGAGGCTTATCAAGGTGCACTGCAGCTGGGTGTGAGAAAGCACAAAAAGCCTTGCAGCTTAGGAGACCAGGAATCACTGGTGACAAGGGGCCACAGTGGCCTTATTCCCAGATTCTGCCCATGCTAGGATCTGGATTATGGGATTTCCTACAACTCCTTTCCTTAAAGTTTACAAGACCTTGGCTACCAGGAGGAAGTCAACCCCAAATGCAACTGATCACTCTAGCAGATAAGGCAAGGCTGGTACCCCACATTCTGCCAACAGATGGAACAGAAGCAACAGAACAGAATAAAATTCCTGAATCTCGGCGAGAAAGCGAGGAAGAACAAAGAGCAGGGAAGAGAGGCGGCAGTAGAGCATGTGGGTAACGACAGCAGGGGCTATCCTTTATGGAAATACACGGCGCTTAGCGCGTTGCATGCGTTGACCCATTTAACCCTCCCACCAGGACCAGTATCATCTCCATTTTACAGATGATGAAACTGAAGCACAGTGAGATATCATTTGCCCAGAGCACACTGCTAAGAAGGGGCACCGCTGTGACTCGGGTTTGACTCCAGGGTACCCCATTCTTTAACCTGCACTAACTATCCTGCCTCCCAGGCCTTAAAACAGGACTGAGAGGAGTCGTTCATTTATCCATTTAAGGAACGCTTATTGAGCACCTACTGGGTACACGCCAAGGCCTGGTGCGAGGCACTGGTAGGCAGATGAAGGGACGAGGACCGAGAGGGTCGGGGGACAGAACGCAACGTCAATCATAAGACTACGGAGCTCGGAGCCACGGGGCCAGCGGCGGAAGGGATGCCAGGGTGCGGCAGAGGGAGGGAAGGCGCGGAACGGGAGGAGCGAGGGGAGCCGGGGTGCCGGCCGGACAGCGCAGCCCAGGCGGGGTGGGCGAGAACCGCTTCCCTCGGCGGACCGTCGGCTTCTGCCAGGCGACGAGCCCGGCGCTTCATGTGTGATGGCATTCAGCCTCGGCCACCCCGCGCGGGCGGGACGGGGGCCGGGAAAGGGGGCGAAGCGGGCAGGGCGACCCTGCGCGGCTGAGGCGAGGGAAGGGGGGCCCGGGGGAGGCGTGAGCGCCAGCGGGGAGGAGCGCGGGGCCGAGCGGCGGGGGCGGCGAGGCCTCCAGCAGCGTCGCCGGACTCACCTCCCGCAGCTGCCCCTCCGGACTCTTCGGCCCCGCCGGGCCGGGGGAGGCGGGGACGGACTCCGGGCCGCGGGGGCTGCCGGGAGCCCGTTCCCTGGGCAACCGGGCCGGCACCGCCGAGCGACAGCCGGCTCCGCCCGAGGATAGAGCGGCAGAGCCACAAGTGGCGGCGGGCGGGGCGGAAGTGACGTGCGCGCTTCCGGCGGGTGTAGACGGGGCTTCGGGACTCTTTCCCGGGATACCTGCGGACCGCATGGAAGGTGCGTGAGAAGGGCTAGTTTCCCGGGGCAGGGAGGGTGTGGATGTTACGGCTTGGACTGCAGGGTGGGCCAGAGACCCGGAGCTTTCGGGATCGAATGGGGTCCGTGCCTTAGCCCAGCCCAACCCGCTGGCCGCGCGCCGGCTCTGCGGTCGGCCCGGGTGTCAGTTTTGCGGAGCCTGTTTTTTCACGTGTACAAGATGTACGCAAAGGAGCGTCCGCAGATCCTGACGCTCAAATTGTAATTGTCTTGGAACACTTTCCCTGAACTCCCGTCAGTCAGTTACCGACCACAGAGCCTTCTGCTGGTACTGAAAGCTGTCATTCAGCCAGCGCTCACTATGTGCCAAGTCGTGTTCTAAGTACTCTACATAGATTAGCGCATTGGAGCCTCACAGCGACCCCGTGAAGTAATGTCAACAGAAGGGGACCCGAGGCTCAGAGGGATTAAGTAAAGTAGCCACTATCCTTTACCTCACTCTGCCCTTTCCTGTGACTGATTACTGGTCTGTCTTTCCCTACTGGCCTTTGAGTTTCTTGAAGTCAGAACTGTGTTTTTGGTTCCTAAATATGTGCTGGGAATGGGACAGACAGACGATGAATCAGATGTGGTCCTCGCCCTGAAGGAACCCCTACTGGAGGAGAGAAACCTTTGGAAGATTTTAGTACCAGTGGTAAGAGCTGTTTCTCCATTTAACACATTTTATTCAGCACCTGCTATGTTCCGAGGTTATGAGAGGAAACAAGACATAGTCCCTACTCTGGTGGAACTTGCAGTCTAGCAGGGAATATAGATGTTAAACAAGCGAATACACCACACTGGTGAGTGTCTTGATACCTGACGTATAGGGTATTCCAGATATGTAGTGCAGTGAGGCCTAACTCAACCTGGGGGATACGGGAAGACTTCTTTATGGAAGTGACTTTCTAAAAACCTAATCAGATCATCTCACTTCTTCCCTACTCAAAGCTCACTGATCACTTTCCATTGACTTGGAATAAATCCAAACTTCTTATCTTGGCCCATAAGGTTCTAGTTGCCTGCCTCCTCACCTACTACTCACCCTCTCTCCATTTTATTCTAGCCACACTGGCCTTTTTCTTTTTTTCAAAATCACCAAGCTCATTCTCACATTAGGGCCCATGCTGTTGAGGTCTCATCATTCAAGTCTCAGCCTAAATGACACCTTATCAGGGGTTCACTCTGTTAAAAAAAATTCAACTGAGTAAATTGGAAGACCTAATCAGCTTAATTAAATGGATAGCATCTCATCTGGCAAGCAGAGAGATACTCCAAGAGGGTTACACAACATAAAAGGCTTTTATAGTCAGGAGGGTGAGACAAGGAAAAGAAGTCATCAGCAAGGAAAAAATGAAAGTTCATTGGAGGAAAGTAAAAGTTCAGGAGAGGAGGGCTTCTCGTTGTCTGAGCTGTAGCGTTTTCCATTGGCTGGGCTTGTTGCTGGGCAAGAAAGAAATCTTCCTTTCTCTTGCTGGAGTAGTAAAGTAGTTGCACTTCCTGTTTGGGAGTGCAAGGTATGACTCTTCCGGTTGGGGTCTTTAACTGTCCTAATTAACTGACTCTGTAATTGATTTTCTGTTTCGGGTAGTTGACAGGAGTGGTGGGGAGTGAGAGCTCCCTCTGCAGGCCTTCCTGACTCTGATTTTAGTTGAGGGTTTTTACAATTAATTTTCACAACTCTAACACAAGATCCTGTTTTATTTTCTATTTGGCACTTATCATAATCTGAACTGATCATGAATATCTAATTGTCTATTATACACCTTCTCTCCAGAAAGTAAATTCCATGGAAATGGTCCTGCTCTGTCTTGCTCAATCACTTAATCTCCCATGCCTGGCGTATGGTAGGCACTGAGGTAATATTGGTTAGTTGTATAAGTAAAGAATGAATGAAAAATCAAGATGATATTTAAAAACAGAGCCCTGAAAAGTTACTAGGAGTTACCCAGGTGAGTGGGGACACACACTGACAGGAAATGTATACCAGGTCAAAGGCAGAACTTGTACAGAGCCAGCACTGAGGCATAGAGAGCAAGTGGAGACATGATGGGCAGGACTTAGGTAACAGAAGCTGTGGTATTGTGGTTTATAATAAGAAATAAATATTTGGTCTTCATCCCTGTTCCTGGCACATAGCTCCTAATATGCTTGGGATTTCCTAAGCAAGGAGAGCAATCAAGGTCTTTTGTTATGTTAATGAGGTGATTTTTAGAAAGCCCCTAGGTAACCTAAGGATGGGGACTGGTCACCAGAGGAACCAACCTTGTGATTAGAGAGTTGGAACTTTGAGTCCCACCCACCCCTACCCCCACCTCCTGGAAGGGGAGAGGAGCTGGAGGTTGAATCAGTGGCCTATGATTTAGTCAATCATGCCTAAGTAGTGAAGCCTCCATAAAAAAATGAAAAAGCAAAAGGACAGGGTTTGGAGAGCTGCCAGGTGAACAGGTGGAGATCCCAGGAGAGTGGTGCACTCAGAGGGCGTGGAAGTTCCACGCCCTTTCCCCACGCCTTGCCCTATGCATCTCTTCATCTGGCTGTTCCTGAGTTATATCCTTTTATAATAAACCAGTAATCTCGTAAGTAAAATGTTTCCTGAGTTCTGTGAGCTGTTCTAGCAAATTACTCAAACTCAACGGAGGAGGTCTTTGGAACCTCTGATCTATAGCCGGTCAGTCAGAAACACAGGTGACAACCTGGACTTGAGATTGGCATCTGAAGTGGGGGTGTGGGGGGGGGGGGCAGTCTTGTGGGACTGAGCCCTTAACCTGTGGGATTTGATGCTATCTCCAGGTACATAGTGTCAGAATTGAGTTTATTGCTTGATGGTGGTGGGAAAAACACACATTGGAGAAGCCCTTGTGATGACAGATACTATGTTGGATCTGTAGGGGAGGACGAACTATGCCTCTACCCTCTTGGTCCTTCTGGCTGGTCTGAGAATTAAAGTGACATGAGACAGAATAACAGGAGAAAACCAAACACATTTAATAACACGTGTACGTGGGGAAAAAAACAGGAAAACTGAGTAACTCGCCAAAATGGCCAAAGCTACCACCTTAAATACCATCTTCAGCTAAAGATAAGGGAGGATGTTGGGGGTAGTGGTTTGGGACTTCAAAGGGGAGGAAGGCAATTCACATGGAGATGGAAAAGCAAATGTTTGGTAAACAAATGTTGACATGCTTTGCAAAGACAATGAGACATGGGGAAGACTTTGATTAAATGGGCTTTGCGAGGTTCCTCCCAGTCTACCGTTGTGCTTATCCATGGTGATAGCTCCTTCCTGAAACAGGCCTTTTATCTTAAATTCTTTGAGGCAGTCAGGGGGAATGTCAAATTTTTTTTTTCTGAGTCTTTTGTTTTTAAAAATAAGCCAGAGACGTATTTTGGGGTGGCCAATTCTGATCCCCCACAGATACTTGCCACGTGCCAGGCCCTCACAGCTTTACATACATTATCTAATCTCCACATCAACTCTATCAAGTAGATGTATTTTATCCCCATTTTACAGGTGAGAACATTGAGGCTCGGGGAGGTTAACTGATTTTCCCAAGATCCCACAGCTGGCAGTGGCAGAGCTGGGATTCAAACCCAGTCAGTATGGTCTTCAGAGTCTAAACTCCTAACGATACCACAATTGTGCCTCCTGGATTTCTTAAGGGGCCTCTCACAGAATTTGGACTTTATCCCATGAGCCATGAGAAACCTCTGAAAGTTCTAAGTAGAGAAGGAGAGAGGACACAGGAGGACTGGGGAGCCCAAACAGCCGAAATGGCTTTTAGTGTTCGGGAGCCAGCTTCCTACAGGAGCTGGGATCGGGTGGGTCTTGGAGCACAGGCAGCACTGGCGCAGGGCAGGAAAGAGCGTTCCTGCAGAGGCCTGCAAGGGACTCAACTTTTCAAGAGCTGTCAATAGATCATTTCAGCTGCAGATTGAGGGGGCTTCAGGGTGGGGGTGAGACAGTCTTGAGGCAGAGAGAGAGGGAGCCAGATCCTGTTGGAGTTTGGGCTTCCTCCTGCATTTAAGCAGGGTCGTGGCAGTGTGAAGAACCACAAGGCTCTGAACAAATGTAAGGTATCGAAATGCCCGAGACTAGACAGTGGGGTATTACGGCATGGAAGTGGAGTGTTTTAGCAGAAAGTGACAGCTTTACCTTATTTCCAACCTTTGAATGTGATCATAGTGCTTAAGGTAAAAACTTTGTGGAGCCCTTAAGCTGGAAAAGGACTCAGCCATCTCTGGTGAGTCTTAAACTGTAAAAACAATTCTGTTATGTCTCATTCCAGGAACTTCCATCCAGACTGCTTAGTTTCCATGACATTTATTTGTCCAGTTGATGTAGCAACTGGGATGGTTCTACTGTTGAAAGTTGTAAGATCATAAATTTTGTAATAATTATGTTTCTTTTACTCCCTATCAGCAAAGACTCTTGGAAGCATGATACCCAGAAAACCTGTCTTATCTGTGAGTGCAAGAAAAATTAAGGACAATGCAGCTGATTGGCATAATTTAATCCTGAAATGGGAAACCCTCAATGATGCAGGTTTTGCTACAGCAAATAATATTGCCAACCTGAAAATCAGTTTATTGTAAGTACATTTAGAGTTCCTCATGCTCTGAGCTCTTCGCCCTTAAGGATCAGGCAGAAGTTTCCTGGGAGACTTGTAGGGTGGGAAGGGTCATCTCTATTTGTCAACATGGATAAATTAAATGAAAAAATATTAAGCAAAAAAGCAAGTGGTCAAATGATTTATACAAGTATGAACTGTACCTGTACATTTTAAATACAAAATTATTCTACATATTGTTCATGGTTACATCTGTATATAAAATTATAAAAGTGAGGGCTGGCCCCGTGGCCTAGTGGTTAAGTTCAATGCGCTCTTCTCTGGCAGCCCAAGTTCGCAGGTTCGGATCCCGGGCACGGACCTACACCACTCATCAACTATGCTTGGGTGGCAATCCACGTATAAAATAGAGGAAGATTGGCACAGATGTTAGCTCAGGGCTAATCTTCCTCAGCAAAAAAAAAAAAAGAAGAAGAAGAAGAAGAAGTAATAGATTGGAAGGATATAGGCTCAATTCATGATACTGGTATCTTCTGAGAACGAGTATTGGGGTGGTCAGTGGGACTTCATCTTCTAAGGTTGCATTTTATTTCTGTGATATTGTGTTTTATAATAAGAAATATATATTTGGTCTTTGTCCCTGTTCCTGGCACACAGCTCTTAAAACCCTTATAATTTCCTGATCCATAAGAGCAATTGGAGAATCTTTTGTTATAATATTTGGTCTTTTGTCTGACAGTTCCTGAAATAGCTCCAGAGTGATAAAGGTGAAAGCCCCTTCCGACCACACCTGAGTTTACCTTAATGAGGTGACTTTTGGAAAACCCCTAAGGATGGAGGCTGGTTGCCTAGGGAACCAACCAGAAGATTAGGAGTTGGAACTCTCAGTGCCATGCCCTCACCCCCTTTACCTCTCAGGGAGGTGGGAGGGGCTGAAGGTTGAATTAATCCCCAGTGGCCAGTGATTTAATCAGTCATGCCCACATAATGAAGTCTCCATAAAAACCCAAAAGGATGGGGCTTGGAGAGCTTCCAGGTTGGTAAACAAGAGCACATCCCTCCGTCAGCAGGGTGCTGCACCCCGAGCTCACGAAGCTCCTGTGCTTGGACCCTTCTGGATCTTGCCCTATGTACCTCTTCATCTGGCTGTTCTTCTCTATCCTTTATTATAAACCTGTAGACTAATAAGTAAACCAAGTTCTTTGATACCTTCAATTTCCTGAGTTCTGTGAGCTGCTCTAGCAAATTAATTGATCCCCGGGAGGGCTTATGGGAACCTCTGATTTATAGCACAGGTGACATCCTGGACTTGTGACTGCACTATAAGTGGAGGGGAGGGCAAGCCTGTAGGACTGAGCTCTGAACCTGTGGGATCTGATGCTGTCACAGGCAGATGCTGTCAGAATTGAGTTAAATTGTAGGATGCCCAGCTGGTATCTGGAGAACCAGAATTGTTTGGTGTGGAGAAACCCAGTGCCTCCAAGTGTCAGAGTGAAGCCGAGTATTGAGAATAGAGAACTTTGTTTTTTCTTAGCAATTTGTTTGTTTGTTTTTTAAAGATTGGCACCTGAGCTAACAACTGTGGCCAATCATTTTTTTCTTTTTTTTTTTTCCTGCTTTATCTCCCCAAATCCCCCGGGTACATAGTTGTATATTTTAGTTGCAGGTCCCTCTAGTTGCGGCATATGGGACGCCGCCTCAACATGGCCTGACGAGCGGTGCCATGTCCACGTCCAGGATCCAAACCAGCGAAACCCTGGGCCGCTGCAGTGGAGCACGAGAACTTAACCACTCGGCCAGAGGGCCGGGCCCCCATGCAATTTGTTTTTTAAAGACAAAGGAATTATGAAAAAAACTGTTATTTGCTGATTCCGATTAGAAGATTTATTTTATTATTCTGTGTACTTTCCTATATATATTACATGTTATATATATATATATATATATATATATGATTTTCATTTCTCCAAGTTATAATTATATATATGTGTATCTTTGTCTACAGTCCAGAGTCTAGAGCATTACCTTCCTGGCCTGTCCCCTGGCTCTGGCCAGCCTGCTTCCATGTGAAATTCCCTCACATACCTCAGGTGCTTTGGTCCTCCGCTGCCTTTTCTGGTGGAATTCTGCCCAGCAACTTCCATCAAAAAGCTCTTATCCTTACTGTGTAGTATGCTCACTGATCCTTCCTATTCTATTTTCATGTTTAATTTTTCTTTAAGTGTTGATTGTGACCCCACTAGATTTATTTCATGCCCCACAGGTCGCAGCCTGCAGTTTACAAAACACATTCCTATTCCTAGAATGTGAACTCTGGGAAACCGATCCATGTCTCGTTCATCTTTGTAAGCCCTGTGCTACACGCCAAGGATGCCACAGGGCTGAATTTATTCCAGTGCAAAATTGAGGAACTGAGGGACATATTCATTGTATGTGTAAATAATAAGTAAACATATGTTATAATGAGATGAAACAATGCCTCCACAAAATATCTGACATAATTATGTGGATAATGAGTTTTCTAGGGTTCATCGTCACGAAATGAGGTAAGCTTACAGAGTGTATTTTGTTCTCATTATTTTCCATTTCGTCCAGGAGTAAAGACAAGATAGAGTTAGAGAACAGCAGCCTGGCTTCCAATGACAATGCAGAAAAGATGCACCCGGAGTACAGTAAGGAGCTGGAGATGCTGTGTGAGGGGCTGCAGGCCACCTTAGATGGTTTGGTAAGATCCACAGATCCAGCCACCTGTGCTCACGGTCACTGAATCCCAGGGCTGTGTTTGGGCTTGCTTGGGCGCGGCAGCATTCAACTCTAGGCAGTGCTTTCCTCCTCCACACACACTGGTTTTCCCTCCTCAGCCTCCCCTGCTGGCCTCTCTTCCTCTTCCTGCCCCACAGGTCTAGGTGTTCTCCAAGATGCTGTCCTAGACCTTTGTTCTTTTTGTCCTGTGTGTTGTCCGGGGCAATTTCACCCACTTTCAGGGCTCCACAAAATAAATATTTTAGGCTTTGTGGGCCCTACAGACTCTCTTCTCACTGCTCAGCTCTGCTGGGGAGCCCTAAAGCAGCCAGAGACAGTACATTGGTGAATGGGCGTGGCTGTGTTCTAGTAAAACTTTATTTATGGACACTGAAATTTGAGTTACAAATGTGTCACAAAATATCCTTCTTTGTTTGATTTTTTTCCCAACCATTTGAAAATGTAAAACCCATTCTTAGCTCTCAGGCTGCACATAAATAGGCTAAGGGCCGATTTGGTCCGTGGGCCCTGATCTAGCGTGTAAGACACTCTTCTGAGACTATTGATTGCACTGAATTTCAGTATCCACCATACTGGCCACCAAATGTGCATATAACCCCTCATCTCTTTGCCAGGCACAGGAATAAGGTTTTGTACATACTTGAACTTGGATAACTAAAGCTTACCCACAAACATATAAAATCTTTCTATTTTAACCTTTTTTGATGAGAATGTTTCTAATGCTTTACATGCTTCCTTGCCTTTTTAAACAGAATATGTCAAATATAATTGTATTTCTTCAAGATACCACTCATTCAAATTTAGGATTCTACCTATTATAAGGCAGGCTATAGATGTTCAGGAAAGAAACACTCCTCTTTTAAATATCACATCAACTGTGAGATACGTAATGGTTTCAGAAGCATTGAAATGAGAAAATAAATGGTGCATTGAGGACATTGTGCTTTAGCCTTTTCTTTATGACTGAAATGTAGCACTGTCCTCTGGATATTGTGATGTTTATGAGACTTTGTCTCCTCTAAATAAACGATTGGGTTTTTGTAATTGGCCTGTCCATTTTGTGATTCTGCCTTCCCCTTTGTCTTGGGGTTCTGCTATGATAAGAAACACTTGCCCCACTACCCAACTCTCTCCTCCTTGTACTCAAGCCGGTAACGAGGCGGGCAGGTGTCCAGTGACTTTGTCTTAAGCCTGCTCACAGGAAGCGGGAGGATAAAGCATGTGCACTTTGTGGTATCTATTTTCTTTGTTTTATGTTCATATTCATGGCTATGTCTCCAGTGGGTTCTGGACATAGGACTTCTGGACCAGTGCGGATTAACATAGGCAGAATAATCGATTGAAATTTCCATAGTAATAAGCTATTGAAAACTGGCCACTTGTATTGGTTTTGTTTGTTTGTTCCCAAATTAAGCCATTTGATTATGGCAAGTATTTTTATTTGGACAAGAAAGCAGGTGCACGTATTGTTCCTGAAAGAGAAGAAACTGGGTGGCTAAGTTCCTGTATTGAAATAAGTTAAACAGCCACAAAACTAAAGCCACACAGCTTGGTGGTCAGTTACCCTCAACTGCTGATTGCCTCCTCGTTTGTTGTTTGATGTGTTACAGCTCCCACCAGAACCTCTTCATCCTTGACCTGCTGTGTTCCTTCCTGGTGAAAAACATTGCACAGAATCCCAAAATTGTATTCGAATGAGAAACACTTGACACATATTAATTTGACCTTTTAAAATGCAAAAAACCCTGGAAAGGATTTTGTTTTTAAATGCCACGTGGCGTTTTTTAGATCACACCTTCTCATTTATAGCTCTGTACATACACATACCACATTAGGAAAGTGTTTAAATGGGGAGGCCGTGGGGGGGAGGAGGTGTGACTTCGATTTCAGGCATGTCAGCAGTGATCAGTCAGTGGTTCTGCTTGTGCGCCCTTCATTCTCCCCATCCTTGAGTGGTCAGTCCTTGGTTCTGCTTGTGCGCCCTTCATCCTCCCCATCCTTGAGTGGTCAGTCCTTGGTTCTGCTTGTGCGTCCTTCATTCTCCCCATCCTTGAGTGGCAGTCAGTGATTCTGCTTGTGCGCCCTTCATCCTCCGCATCCTTGAGTGGTCAGTCCTTGGTTCTGCTTGTGCGTCCTTCATTCTCCCCATCCTTGAGTGGCAGTCAGTGGTTTTGCTCGTGCGTCCTTCATCCTCCCCATCCTTGAGTGGTCAGTCCTTGGTTCTGCTTGTGCGTCCTTCATCCTCCCCATCCTTGAGTAGCAGTCAGTGGTTCTGCTTGTGCGCCCTTCATCCTCCCCATCCTTGAGTAGCAGTCAGTGGTTCTGCTTGTGCGCCCTTCATCCTCCCCATCCTTGAGTAGCAGTCAGTGGTTTTGCTCGTGCGCCCTTCATCCTCCCCATCCTTGAGTGGCAGTCAGTGGTTCTGCTTGTGCGTCCTTCATCCTCCCCATCCTTGAGTAGCAGTCAGTGGTTCTGCTTGTGTGCCTTTCATCCTCCCCATCCTTGAGTAGCAGTCAGTGGTTCTGCTTGTGCGCCCTTCATCCTCCCCATCCTTGAGTAGCAGTCAGGTACCACAGGCCTCCTTCCTCAGCCCGCCTGACCCACGCTGAGAAGGGACAGCCTGGGAGGACATCAGGAGGTAGAGTCAAGGTCCAGAAAACCCAGCCAGCAGGCTCAATGGACTGAACAGTAGCGGATGAAACATGGGACACCTGCCCTTGGTCCCTGTAGCCCACAGCACAGGTCCAGGGGGAGGGGGGTGTGGCCTGGCAGGCCAGTTGAAAGTGGCCGCTGGGTTTTGGTGGCTGCACACTCATCGGGAGCTGAGTTCCCAAGATCACAGCCTAGGCTGTGTCCTTGAGAGCCAAGGGAATGATGGGCCCACCCATCATCATGGACAGACAGTGTGGGCACATAAGAGGGGCTGAGGGAGGCAGGCCGTGTCAGAGAGAATTAGAGGAACTGGGGTTTTAGCCCGGATAAGGGGAACCAGTAGACGAAAAGCTGCCATCATGGCCAAAAGGCTGTCCTGAGAAAAGAAACCAGTATGCTGGTTTTATGAAGCCTCAGAGCGGAGAGGGGAGACCCCTGGAGCCCACAGAAGCTTTAGCTCCCACCTGAGAACTATGTGATAACAGAAGTCCTGTCCAGAGCTGGAATGGGCTGCCCAGGGGGTGGGGTGTCACATCGTTGGAAATGTGCCCCCAAAAGCCTGGATGATCACTTGGTGGATTTATTACAAAGATCATTGAGGAATTAATTCCTGGGTGGAACTAGATGAGTGTTCAAACATTTCATCCACTCTCATACCTGCCTCACAATTTGTATCTTATCCTATACTCATTTGTTTACTCAAGATTTTTCTGTAGAATAATTAAAACCACACTATAAAAATGTTAGCTGAATACTGCTTCCCTGTGAAAGTCTCTGAGCCTGGGGTTTACTCCCTCTTTCCTAAAAAGGGAAGTATTATGTCTAAAAAAAGCAAGTATTATGAGATGGAGAGGCATACTGATAACCAGAAGAATTGGGAGATAACAAATGAGGCATGAAGCAGTGTGTCCCCCTGTGGTTCAGGGTTATTAATACCACGGCCCGGTGCCACCTAACCATCCTCCCAGTGCATCCCACACTTTGGGAAAGGGTGGGCCACATGGTCTCTACGGTCTCCCCAACTCATAGGTTCCCGCTCCAGTGAATTTATTCTACATGTTTTTTAAAATACCGCTTTATTTTTTAGGACAGTTTTAGATGTACAGAATAATTAAATAATTAATCATTTATTTGTCTTTTCTCCCCTATTAACTATTCAGTCATTTATTTCTAGCAGTATGGACTCATGGTTATTTGTTTTGTATTTTGGGTTATAATCCAGTACTGCTTTATTTTGTCCCTCAAATTGTTCCTGCTTTGGCCATTAGGAGTTCAGTGGGCTCCCATGTCCTTTTGACATACTCCCATCATTGTAAGTTTTAGGTTTTGGTTTTTTGAATACTTCCTAACTTTCTGGCATTATAAGATGTTCTAGGCTCATCTTGTGAATTTCCTGCCTCAGTGCTAGAATCAGCCATCTTTCCAGGGATCCCTGGCTCCTTTTACCAGAGAAGGGTATTAGAAACCAACATCTGAATGCTAGCTGTCAGGCACCAAAGTTCTATGCTCCAGTGAATTTATTCTATTTTAAAGTGGTTTTGAAATAAGTTCTCATTGTATGCTCAAAACCAAGAGTTAATGTTATAAGGATATTAATATGATTTTTCCTATGTTCCTCCAGCTTTTAGAGAGAATGGTTTCCCAGACTTTACTTTAAATGTCTTGAATGAATTTGACCTTGGTGGAGGTTTGAGGCACCCCTTTCCCTAAGCAGTGTGGTCTATTAGCTGTGGGAACAGAAGTACCTGTGTTGAGCTGTGAGTGTGGGCCGCTGTTCATGCACTGTCCAGGGCTGCACACGTGAGCATAACTTTAGTCTTTTTATTGATGACCGAGCTCCAGAATTGAGTGAGGCACCTCTGGCCTAGCATTTTCTTGCTCTCCTGATCTTTACAAGCTTTTCTTAGAATTAGGTGGCCCCAGGGAGCTGCTGTGTGATGCAGAGGAGAGAGCATAGGACTGAGTGTCAAGAGACTTGGAGTCAGAATGCGTGGTCTCAAGTCCTGGCCTTGTCTTCCCCTAGCTCAGTGACCTGGAGAATTCCCAGCTGTCATACAGAAGGAATAATCCTACCTCTGGGGTTGGGCCAAGGGAAACATCGAACCTAGAAAGATTTGGAAAAGGAGTATAGTCCTTTACAAATTAATGTTAGCTAAATTTAGTGCATGCCACTTCAAACATAATTGGAGGATGAAGGACCAAGTGCAAAGAATTAAGATTTTGACGATTTATCTGTCTTTTCTTATTTCTCCATGTACATAAAGTTAACTATACTTGGGAGTTAGAAATGTGGTCTTTGAAGACCTATGCTACTCAAATCTGAAATCTTAGTTACTTCACCCATTTATTTTATTTAACAAACCATTATATAGCTCCAACTAGGTGCTTCAAAAAAAACTCAGTCCTCCTAACCACCCTGTGAAAGTAGGCACTTTGTCAGCCCCGTCTGTGCTGGCCTGTCATGCAGTGGGGATGGTTTTAGTATCCACCGCAAAGGCCGTGCAGATGCTGCAGTTACCCAGCTTTGTATGGAGCCTGGAGGACTCTGAGGCCCTGTTGATGTCAAGGTCTCATCGTTTTCCTTCCTTCGTGAAGTGTGTGGGGCTCCCTTTCATTATTACCATTTCATTATTACCAAAACAGGAACCAGAGGCTTCAGTAAACTCAAGGCAGTTAATAAAAGAGTCAGAAATGAGCTCATTTAATGCCCTTTCTCCTCTTGCATTCCATAAAAACAGGAGCCTATCTTGCGATTCTTCCAGGTCATTGGTGTTAAAAAATTCGTGCTCTTTGGAAATCATAGGGAACTGCGGCTCAGCAAGCCTTCTCTTCTCCAGGACTGGACATCTGGAGTCCATCACTGAAGTCATCCAAGTTAATGAAATCATAGCAACTGTCTGCCTCCAGCTCCCTGGAAGTTTACTGCACATGGAGTTAATAGTGTCAAGTTATTGGACTTTTCGTCTCGACAGACTCATACTTCTTAGTTCTGAAATCTTATAGTTGTTGAATCTGAGACTAGAGTAGATTTCAAATAATATGCTCATATTCCAAATTAATATCTTTTCAGACCAAAATACAGGGGAAAATGGAAAAGCTGTCTTCAACTGCCAAGGGAATTTGTGAACTAGAAAATTACCATTATGGGGAGGAGACAAAACGGCCCCTCCTGTTTCACACATGGCCCACAGCCCATTTTTGTAAGTAGTTTTTTCTGCATTGATTTTCAAGGGTAGATTATGAGAGCACTTGAGATCATTTAGATCTGGTACTCTAAGAAGCTGACAGGCTTTGAAATTCAATTCAAGAGGATCCATTGGGAGGGAAGGAGATGGGGGCATCTTAAAATGAGCATTTCTTCTTGGCTTTAATCACCTAATAATCAGCAAGGAATATGAAATGTAATTAGAGACTCATGAAGCAAGTTGACATTATTAGCCCTTTAAAACCAATGGGTAGAATGAGTTCTACCTCCTGTGAAGGCAGAAACCTTTTTTTTTTTTTTTTGGAAGAAAGGTGGGGTTTTTGCTTTTTGTTTTGTTTTAATTAAAAAAAAAAACTGAGGTCACTTCAGCTTTAGCCAAGCCCGTGGAAGAAGACTCCCAGGAAAATGGAATCCATTACTTAAATAAGCTCTATGAGATAAGGGTTATTTTTAGTTTTATTAGTTCAAAAGAAGGGCTAAGCTATTTGATGTTGATTTATGATGTCACTTTTAAATAAGGGAGAAAAGGGTAAAATCACCTAATGAAATGTGTTTACTAAATATTTCAGTTTGAGGTGAATCTACTATCTACTGTCTATAATCATTGCAGGTACTTAAGTTGAGTAGAAAAGGTTATAGCTACTTTCTAATTTCGTGACACCATGTTATTTCATTCTACTAACCTCCACCAGCTCGAGTGATGAATACCCATCTGGCCTTTCTGCCTCAGTGCTGTTGCTAATTCTGGTTTTTAACAAGGACCTTTGCAAAGTGGCGGGTCACCCCCAGTCAAGAGTACTTCCTTGAATTACTGCTATTAGAGGAGACCTAAATTTATTTCAGATGAGGTTTCCCGCGAGCTCTCTGCCATGTACTGGAAGGAGCTCCTCCTGAAGCGCACCATCGTTGAAGAGCTGGCACACACTGTGGACCATGACCTCACCCTGAGCTACCTGTCCATGTGGCTGCACCAGCCCTACGTGGAGAGTGACAGCAAGCTGCTTCTGGAAAGCATGCTGCTCGAAACAGGCCACCGAGCACTGTGACTGCCCAACATGGCTTTGTGCATGAGCCTCCAGGCTCTGTACTACTGGCTTCTGTAGCTCCCAAGGTGGACAGTCTTTCAGGTAGGATCCAGTGCTGCACCCCAGGATTATACCGTGTTCTGGCGTGGCCACCCACTGACCTTCTTAGAGTCTTCCAGACTGGATCATTTCACCAGCTCCCTGCAGCCTCCCCAGACACATTACTGCTGTGTGCCATCCACCACTCAGCATCATTGGCACCTACTGTGAGTCTGTCCCCCATGAAGACTTCTGCTGGAAATAAATGAATTCATCAGAATGACTAAGTGATCTTGTTTCTGTAAATTAGGTATATTTTACACATATTACATTTGTGTAGAAAATCCCTGGTTTCATATTTTTACTTTATGTCTACCTGTATTCTTTTAATTATTATGAGACTATATTAGTTTTGTAATTACAGCTAATGTTTAAAATACCATAGAGTTAACTGAGTAAAGATTGGCATCATGGAAGTGAAAACTACCTACAGAAAAACTGCCTCTAGGGGCCAGCGCCGTGGCCGAGCGGTTAATTTCGTGTGCTCTGCTTCGGCAGCCCAGGGTTTCCCCGGTTCAGACCCTGGGCGTGGACATGGCACTGCTCATCAAGCCATGGTGAGGTGACATCCCACATGCCACAACTAGAAGGACCCACAACTAAAAAAAATATACAACTATGTACTGGGGGGCTTTGGGGAGAAAAAGGAAAAATAAAATCTATAAAAAAAAAAAAGAAAAAGAAAAATTGCCTCTGTTTGCATACTGAGGATGTGACAGGCCAAATGAAGTATCATCCATGTCATTCTACTAGCGTAAATCCTATAGTTTGGCAATATTTGCAACCAAATATTGGGGAGATCAATTCTGCCCTTGCTCCCCAGAATCAAAATCTAAGAAACTGCATGCTCTGTGATACGGGATGCAGCCTCATGAAACTGAAGTTCCAGTGTCCCAGGAGCAAGTGCTTCCCAGGGAAAGAAAGAAACTATTCCCAAAATAAAAGACTTATACATGAGAGGGATGTATTTTGAGAGAACGTTAGGATATTTCACTGTGCAAGTTGACATCAAAAGCATTTAAAAGCAACATTTCTTAGAATTTCTCTTTACTCTGCCCTTGCAGTTTTTATTAAAATCTAACCATCATAAAAGTAGCCCATCAAAACTAGGAGGCAGAGCAAAAAATGGCAGGGTGAGCTGACCCGGGACTCTCTCCTCTCCAAAGTACAACAATGGACTGAAAAAAAAAACAAAAAACCTGAATTTCAGCTAATGAACCTACTGCCAGGACTCAGAGACCTACAGTATCAAAAGACAGAAGACAGAGCCCCTACTGCCCGCCTCGGAGGAGCTGGAATGGCGTAAGAGAGAACATCGCTCCATCCCCTAGAAACCGGGATCACCGCGTGGGTCCAGCAAGGAGTACGGGAGGGGCAGCATGACCAGGGGATGGTCTAGGACTCCCGCCGCCGGTTCAGTGGAAACCCGCTGACAGGGGAAAGCTTCCGTGCATGGAGACTCCATAAATGCAGGGCCCCGGGAGACCAGAGAACAGAACTGATTGAATCCAGATCAGTGTGCAAAAGAAACTGCCCCCACCTGCCCCGGAAAAGTACACTGGGTGCCACCATCTTGCCCGAAGGCGGAGAGCTCAGAAATGCGTGGCTCTCGACCCCCATCTAGTGGCGACAGGCTGTAACTGCAACCAAATTCTACCACCATGCGAAAAAACCGCTCCTCTACCATCCACAAATTAATAAAAACCTCAGACCAGAAGGAAAACAATAAAAACATAGAATTAAGTCCTGAGGACTTGGAATTAGGTAAACTAAATGAAAATTAGTTCAGAGCAGCTATAATCAAAAAACTCAATGAGGTAGAGAGAAAGATAGAGAAACAAGCCAAGTTCTGGAGTTACTTCACAAAAGAGATTGAAATTATAAAGAAGAATCAAACAGAATTACTAGAGATGAAAAACACAATGGACCAGATAAAACAGAATATAGATTCCCTGAATGCCCGGGTAGACTCCATAGAAGAGCAAATTAGCATAATTGAAGATAGACAGGCTGAATGGCTCCAGACAGAAGAAGAAAGAGAACTAAGGATTAAAAGGAATGAGGAGTGTATTAGAGAGACAGCAGATTCAATGAGGAGAAAGAATTTAAGGATCATAGGAATTCCTGAGAACATAGAAAAGGAAAATGGAGCAGAAAGTGTGCTTAATGAAATTATAGAAGAGAACTTCCCAAATCTAGGGATTGAGGGAGAAATGTGTGTAGAGGAAGCTTTCAGATCTCCTAGATTTGTCAATGTAAAAAGACCTACTGTAAGGCATATAGTAGTACAAATGGCAAAAAGGAATGACAAAGAAAGAATACTCAGGGCTGCACGACAAAAGAGAATTACCTACAAAGGAGCCCCTATCAGACTTTCAGCGGATTTCTCTACAGAAACCTTACAAGCTAGGAGAGAATGGAGAGACATATTCAAAGCTTTAAAAAATAAAAATCTTCAGCCAAGAATACTCTATCCAGCAAGAATATCCTTCAGCTATGAGGGAGCAATTAAATCTTTTCCAGACAAACAAAAGTTAAGGGAATTTGTAACCAAAAGTCCTCCACTACAAGAAATCCTCAAGGCTCTCATACCTGAAAAAAGAAAAAAGGGAGAAAGGGGTCACAAACCACAGAGTAGGGAGACAGATAAATAGAACCAGAATAGGATAGCAAATATTCAACTATAGCATTAGGATAAAGGTAAGGAAACTACCAAAGCAAAGACGATCTTATCACTCTAACTACAAACTCATAACACAAGTTGGAACAAGAAATGACAATAATACTTTAGGAGGGGAAGAGCAAAGGGACTAAATTAGTCTAGGCCAAGTAAGTAAGAGACCACCAGAGAATAGACTATATTATTCACAAGATTCTAAATACAAACTTCAGGGTAGACACTAAACTAAACAACAGAACAGAGACACAAAACATAAATAAGCAAAAATCTAAGAAACCCAGCATAAGAAATTGCAGTATCAAATGGGTAGGATAAAGCACACAGGAAGAGAAAAGCAGGAAAGCCAGATAATGAGCAACAGATTGACAGCTTTAAGTGCACATGCATCAGTAATCACTCTCAGTGTAAACGGACTGAACTCTCCAATAAAAAGACACAGAGTGGCAAAATGGATTAAAGAACAAGATCCAACAATTTGTTGCCTCCAGGAAACACACCTCAGCCCCAAGGACAAACACAGGCTCAGAGTGAAGGGGTGGAGGACAATACTTCAAGCCAATAGCAAGCAAAAAAAGGCAGGTGTTGCAATTCTCATATCAGACCAAGTGGATTTCAAAATAAGACAGGTAAAGAGAGACACAGAGGGACAATATATAATGATCAAAGGGACACTTCATCAAGAAGAAATAATGCTTCTAAATATCTATGCACCCAACACAGAAGCACCAAGGTTCATAAAGCAACTATTAACAGACCTAAAGGAAAATGTTAAAAACAACACAATAATAGTAGGGGACCTCAACACCCCACTCACATCAATGGACAGATCATCCAGAAAAAAATACACAAAGAAATAGTGGAGCTAAACAAAAAAACTAAAACAATTGGACTTAACAAATATATACAGATCACTTCATCCTAAAAAAGCAGAATACACATTCTTCTCAAGTGCACATGGAACATTCTCAAGGATAGACCATATGTTGGGAAACAAGGCAAGCCTCTACAAATTTAAAAAAATTGAAATAATAACAAGCATCTTCTCTGATCATAATGCTATAGGGCTAGAAATTACAAGAAAAAAGCTGAGAAAGGCACAAAGATGTAGAGACTAAATAATACACTACTGAACAAGCAATGGATCACTGAAGAAATTATAAAAAAATACCTGGAAACTAATGAAATTGATAACATGCCATACCAACTCATATGGGATACAGCAAAAGCTGTATTAAGAGGAAAATTCATCGCAATACAGGCACATCTTAACAAACAAGAAAAATCCCAAATAAGGAATCTTAAACTACACCTAACTGAACTAGAGAAAGAAGAACAAATAAAGCCCAAAGTCAGCAGAAGGAGAGAAATAATAAAAATCAGAACAGAAATAAATACTATTGAAACGAAAAAGGCAGTAGAAAGGATCAATGAGACAAAGAGCTGGTTCTTTGCGAAGATAAATAAAATTGACAAACTCCTAGCCAGACTTACAAAGAAAAAAAGGGAGAAAGCTCAAATAAACAAAATCAGAAATGAAAGAGGAGAAATAACAACAGACTCTGCAGAAATACAGTGGATTATAGGAGAATACTACAAAAAACTCTATGCTAACAGAATGGATAACCTAGAGGAAATGGATAAATTCTTGGACTCCTAAAATCTCCCAAAGCTCACTCAAGAAGAAGCAGACAATTTGAACAGACCAATCACAAGGAAAGAGATTGAAACAGCAATCAAAAACATCCCAAAGAATAAAACCCCAGGACCAGATGGCTTCCCTGGGGAATTCTACCAAACTTTCAGAGAGGATTTAATACCTATCCTTTTCAAGCTATTCCAAAACATTAGGGAGGATGGAACACTTCCTAACACATTCTATGAGGCCAACATCACGCTGATACCAAAGCCAGACAAGGATGCCACAAAAAAAGAGAACTACAGACCAATATCACTGATGAACATAGATGCAAAAATTCTAAACAAAATTTTGGCCACCAGAATTCAGCAATTCATCAAAAGGATCATACATCATGATCAAGTGGGATTCATACCAGGGACACAGGGATGGTTCAACATCCGCAAATCAATCAACGTGATACACCACATCAACAAACTGAGGAATAAAAACCACATGCTCATCTCAATAGATGCAGAGAAAGCATTTGACAAGATCCAACAGCGATTTATGATAAAAACTCTGAACAAAATGGGCATAGAAGGGAACTCCCTCAACATAATAAAGGCCATACACGACAAACCCATAACCCCAACATCATACTCAATGGACAAAAACTGAGTGCCATCCCCCTGAAATCAGGAACGAGACAAGGATGCCCTCTATCACCACTCTTATTTAACATAGTACTGGAGGTCCTGGCCTGAGCAAACAGGCAAGAAAAAGGAATAAAAGGAATCCAAATAGGGAGGGAAGAAGTGAAACTCTCGCTGTTTGCAGACGACATGATCTTATATATAGAAAACCCCAAAGAATCCATTGGAAAACTCTTAGAAGTAATCAACAACTACAGCAAAGTTGCAGGGTA